CTGTTGCTGCAGATCATTTTAAAGGGGGATAAGATAAATTTTTGCAAACGACTAAGATGGCTTGAGTTGATATGGATCTTGGAGGAACACTAGATTTAATTTATGTTCTGTTTTACATTATGAAAAGTGTTGCTTCTTGTAGTAATACCAATATTTCTGTCATCCCTCGGTGCTGTAATATGCTAAGATCCACTTACAGGTTTTTCTGAATCTGGTTAAAGTTAGGGAGACCACAAACTGAGAGAACAATGTTCCAGTAAACCAGGTTATTTAAAATTCAAAATAAATTCTAGTTCATGATCATTCCATAGTCCCAAATAATTCTGGTTTACGATATTGTGTCAAAGTACACACTCATATGTTTTAAACAACTTGCTAGTGAATTTGGATAATTATGAACTTACTGCATATACGGTAATTTATTAATTTTTAATTTTACTTACTTTTTCTTTCATTGTTTATAGTTATTTTAGATATTTCAATTAAGTCTGTTAAACATCTTTACCCCCACTGTTCCTTAATCCTCTCCAAGACATCATCCCTTTCTTTGTTTGTAGGGATCTTGCAACTATCTCGGAAAGCATGTTACTTTATTTAATCCTCTTCCCACTTTTATTTAATTTATTATTTATTACTCACTATTTTAAGTTATTGCTAATTGAGTACCATTGTTTTTTAACCATTACCAGTGTTTTTTTTAATTAATACTTATGTATTTATTACTATTTGTTAATAACTTATCAGTAGGACCTGGATTTGAAGATCTCAATTTACTATGAAACAGATCGTAACAATAAACCCTACAATAGTATATATTATACTACAGTATTTGTAGAGTTTAAATGTTGTTAAAGGAACATGGAAAAACTGAGTTGGAACATTAAACCATAATATAATGTTTACAAAAATTCTCAAATCAGTGCTAATTCCATCGATAGATTCAATCCAGTAGTGATGGACAGTGAATTATGCTCAGTTTAGAACGATCTGATGGGTTCCAGTGGGTATACTCCAGTAAGGCTACTTAAATCATGAAAAATAAAAAATGTATTGCAAGCTACTAATGTTAAAACTATATGTTGATTTCAAAGCTGCTTTCGACAAAATCTGCCGTAAAGTCCTTCTGAAAAAGCTCCTCAAAATGAATATTGGTGGAAAAATGTACAGAGCCATACGGTCCTTTTTGGCCCAGAGATTTCTCCGAGTAAGACACAATGGCTGGTTTTCAAGCTTCAGATCTTTTAGACAGGGACTTCCCCAAGGATATGTTCTGAGCCCAACACTTTTTAATATAATGATCAATGACTTAGTGGCAGTGCTCGAGAGAATACCCGGAATATCTGCTCTACTGTTCGCTGATGATCTACTAATATATACGACTAGTAGCAGCATAACAGCACTCGAAGCAGCAATTAATGAGGCAATGACAAGACTTTTTACCTGGACCATATCAAATGAAATGGAAGTGAACACCCAGAAAACTAAATTTCAACTGTTCACGTTATCAACCAAAGTGCACGAGCTGGAAGTCATTTATAATAATGTTCCCTTGCCAAGAACCTATGCAGGCAAATACCTGGGAGTTAGGTTAGACACCAAAATGAATTGGAACAGCCAAATTGAAGATATGGTGGAAAAGGGAGAAAACAGGCTTAAGCTTTTAAAACGCCTTGGAGGAAAGACATGGGGGCCACCCAGGATGTGATGGGTCTTGCATATAAAACCTATGTACGCCCAGTACTGGAATACGGTTCTGAAGTCATCTGTACTGCGGCTGATGCATCCCTGAAAAGACTGGACAGCCAGCAGAACAAAGCACTGCGTTTAATTTTGGGCGCACCGCGCTCAACTCCTATTGCAGCTATGGAACTGCAGACCACAGTAGAACCCCTTTCGAAACGGCGTGAGCAAGCTGCAATGTGTCTTCACGAGCGAATGAGAAGAAAAAATCCAGAGTTTTGGAAAAAATACAAAATCCCAACTCAACGGCTCAAGACCCAAAAATCTTTCATGCTAAAGACGAAGGCTTTACTTGAAGAAAGAGAGCTGGACTGTGAAGAAAGGGAGCCATTTATACAGGCACAGTTCCCAATCCACAACCACCCGAGCAGGGCAGAGCTGCAACTACTCCATAAGGTGGATAAAAAAGAAACACCAGAATATGAGCTGAAAGCGATAGCACTGGAAACTATAGCTCAAAAGTACCTACCTCAGGATTGGCTTCACATTTATACTGACGGATCAGCTGAATCAGCCGTCAAAAATGCTGGGGCAGGAGTTTACTCGAGAGAGTTTCAGTTCAGTGCTGCGGTGAATGAGGATGGTACGAATTTTGACGGTGAGATAGCAGCGATCCTCATAGCCCTAAGAACACTATTAGGAAGGCAAGTTCAGAACGCTGTTCTCTTTGTCTACTCGCAAACAGCAATCCTCGCCATTACTGACGTGAATAAATGTATGTCAAGTGCTATCTTGGGAGTGCAAATCCCTTCTCTACGATCTAACACTCCGAGGCACCAATGTGGTCCTTCAGTGGATTCCGAGCCATTGCGGTATTCCAGGAAATGAGGAAGCGGATAGTCTCACCAGGAGGGGAACAGAATTGCCACAAACAGTCCATCCAAAATCCTACGATTCGATTCGGCCAATGGTGAGGATGATAGTGAAGGAGGAAACAAGAAATATGCACAAAGACAAGGTGGAAGGGAAACGTTATGGATGTTTGATGGAAAACTCGATCCCATCAGACTTACCAAGAAGAGATGCAGTAGCCTGCTTCCGCCTGGCCACTGGTCACGACTATCTACAAAGTCATCTGCACAAGATAGGCGTGGCTGAGGATCCTAGATGTAAATTGTGAACAAGCGGAAATGGATGCAGACCACCTAAACGAATGTCCTGCTTTGACGGATATAAACAATCAAACATATGTAAATGATTACATACAAAAATCAAAATTATATTGGGCAGCAAGATGTCGGATGGTCGAATGACCAATGACTATGGCATAGGAAAAAAAAAAAAATGTTAAAACTATGCTAGTTCTAACTATAAATAACGCTAGTTCTTTAACTCAACGTTAAAGTCCTTGTCATTTTCCCCGGTGTAGAGACAGATCCGATATCATTGATGAGCTCAGAGCTGAATTTAGGAAGTTGCCCATATGGACAGAAAATAAACATAATATAATATATATGAATATAAATAAGTTAAAGTAAATTGAGATATAACAATGCTGAGGTTTCATTCACCGAATCGATCGACCCTAAAAGTTGATGGAAACCATCATATCCAGTCAATTGACTGGATTCATGAATGAACCTAAAAATATTTATCTATTGTAACATTTTAGATTGCTGAGGAGGACAAGGTTTTTCTCGAAACGTTCAAATAAATTTGCAATCAAATACTAATTTGTGATTAAATTATTTATGACCAATAGGCAAATGAACAACTATAAAAAGAAAAAAGGTCAAACAAGCATAAATGAAAAATAATTAACATTATTTTATTTATTTATTTTTTATAGACTCCCCAACCAACTCCTTCTTATTCAAATAAATTTTACTCTTAATGATTGTTTGCTTTTAAATTAAATATTCTATGTTTTTTTACTATTTATAATAAAATGATATGAGTATTATTATTCATGAATAAAAATAATGATTCACAAGACTCCCATACGTCTTTTAGAGATGTGAGGAGATTATGTTTGAATAGGTAAACAAAGTTTTAGTACATGAGTATATCTAAAAAAATAATAAAATAAAATCCAAGATGAAATGGAAAGCAATATTAAATGTGAAAAATGTTTTTGTCGGAATATTACTCAATTTATATCTTATATCTTGAAACTTAATGGCAACAATTTATAAAACTATTAGAGTTCCTTCTATTCTTCAGAGATAAGGAACATGACTATTTAAATTAAGAGAACCGTCAGCACTGAACAAGTTGTTGGCAATTACTTTTTTTTTTTTTTTTTTACCGATACACAAACCATTTCCTTGATTTATCATATGGTCAACCATCTATTCATATAATATAAAATGCATTTAACTATAAAAAAATATTAATAAATGCTTGCCTTTCAGTAACATGGTATTAGTAAACTTTTTATTTTTTACAATAAATATCAAGCAAAAATAGATAACTGAATCCAAGATCATTTAATTTTTTAATAAGATGTGATTTTAAAGAATGTAAAAAAAGAAAAACAAACATATTACTATAAATATTTTAATAAAAATATAACATTTGTTTTCAAAATTGTAAAAATTTAATAATGTACAAGCCGGCTTTCGTTTTCAAATCATCACAAAACATAAACATTGTATTAATACATTATTCCAGATGAAGATTAAAAATTAACTCCTTTGGGTACATACAGAATATTACAAATAATTATAGAAATTGGTTGAGCAATAGTAAAGGAACACAAACAAAACTAGTCTATGTATAATTAAGGTAAAGGTTTCCAACTGTACTGCTACTATCACATAAAATACATAAGACCCTGGCATAGGTAAACCCCTAAGTACTTTTTAAAGATAATTTGATAACAGCTTTGCTTCTAACATAGACTTTCTAATGAAAATTATTGATTTATACAGATAATACTTATAAATTGTATTTTAGAATATATTAATTATTTTAATATAAAACTATCAATTAGCATTTTCTCAATAGGCTCAAGAATAAATAAAATTACCCGTGAAATTGCCTGTGTAAAACAAAACAAATATGAACATATTAAGTACACTAATATTTAATTAACAGATTTGATTATCATCAACATTAAACTATTTAATTATAACATGAAATTTCCACTAATTATGTTTTGTTTTCCCTTCATTTTTTGTTAAAAGGATTAATAAAAAAAAAAAAAATGAAACTTCAGCCTTAGATTTCTGTATGTACTAAATAGGAATGGATAAAGACTTAAACCTAAAAAAATGACAACATAAATTCCAAAGTAATACTTAAAAGTAGTGAGTGAATGGAAACATTTAAAAAAAAAAGTAGAATAAACAATTACTAGAGATTTAATTTAATTATTATTTTTTCTTTCAGATGTGAAAATGAAAAGAGGAACATACATTTAATCATATAAAATAACACTTTTAAAGTATAATGATGGTTTTCATAATGCTTTTTCTTTATTAATTTTTAATATATTTTTTATTATTATTTTTTTTTTTTTACAAAATCTGATGAATTCTCTGGTATTTTGTCTAACATATGTCTAACAAATGTATTTTATCAGTGATGTCACAATACCTTTTTAAGGTAAATATATTCAATAAACAAATCAAAATTATTCTACTTAAAATAAATAACAAAAAACATAAATGCTCGATATTGAACCCATATAATTTATCAGTTTAGATGTCAACAATTAATTAACATCTGACAAATTAAACAAATATTAAAATAGAGATATTAAAACATTTCAATCTCTAATTACATCACAATTTGTCTTTGATAGAATGAATCCAGAAGAAAAATAGTTATTTTATAAATCATAATTAATTTTCTTACTTAGCTTAATAATTTTGAAAACGATTTTGTAGACAAATTTCAACATAAAAACAATAAGGCATTTAAAAGATCTGTCCTTATGTGGCAGCATAATCTAATTGAACATACAACTGCTGAACACCAACTGCTGCAAATATCATTTGGGTGTGACTAACGACATATTTCGGATCTGCTTCTCTTGAGACTTCAAGTTTTAATGCTCCCACATAGTAATCAGAACATAAAGTCCAAAAATGGGGTTGCTGTATGCTGTAAACTCCAACAAGTTGCATAACTTTTTGGTAGCATTGTGGTAAAACGCTGTCTAATTGGACTGGTTGCCTTTGCATTAATATATACACCGAATCTTTAATTAAAGCAATCACACTTAATGCAATCAATACAGCAATGAACATGGAACAAATAGGATCAGCTCTCATCCATCCGAATGCTTGAACAAGCACAGAAGAAATAATCACGCCTACACTTCCTAGTGTATCAGCTAATATATGTAAAAAGACACCTTTCATAATATGTGAATTCTGAGGTGTGGCTTCATGAGAATGATCAGTAGAATTATGATAATGTCCATGATTTCCATGGGAATGTCCATGGCTTTTGTTACTATGTGAATGACCATGGGAACCTCCATGTGAATGTCCATGTTGGAATGCATATATACCTACCATATTTACAAGAAAACCTAGAACTGAAACAACAAATAGACGTTCATGTTTAACTTCAGGGGGTTCTATGGCTCTTTCCACAGCCTCAGACATTATGAAAAATGCTATAAATAGTAAAAATAGGCCATTTACAAACCCAGCTAAGACTTCTGCTCTCACATAACCGAATGAATACTTATCATTAGCTCGCCATTTCGTGATTATAGATGCAACTAAACCTGCTAACAAACCTGTACAATCGAAAAACATATGAAACGAATCAGATATTAAACCTAAACTGTTAGTCCATATTCCATAAAATAATTCAACAAATGCAAAAGATGAATTAAGAAGTAGAAAAAGGAATAAATTTCTTGAATTTCTGTCAGCAAATATTAGGCGTAACCACCCATTTATCTGGTCTATTAGTTTGGTGATGACCCTGTCTCTTGATGAAGCATCTCTATGAAACACTGGCAACATTGTATCAGTTCAATTTAATCTGAAAATAAAAAGCAATGCATATGGAGGCTGTTAAGTTAGACTATAAATTTAACATGAATGATAAGTGTTAAGATATATAATAGTTTCACAATGATGATTTTAAATATAAAATTTATTTTTAACAATTACTCACAAACATATTGATACTTAATTGCTATATTTAATCCTAACAATGAACATAAAAAGCTGGATGAGATTAAATTTAATTAATAAGCCACATGAACTTGCTTTATGGGATTTTTTTTTTTCAAAATAAAAAATCTTGAAAACTTAAAGATCTGATGTTATAATTAGAGACTGGATTTCCACATAATTGCACCTTTTATTCTTTTATCTACTAATAACACCACTAATCTATTCCATTCACCAATTGTCAATGAAATAATACATTAAAATTTAGTATTGAAAAAAAGAGAAGTGTTGTTTGACAAATATAGCAAAAAAAGGAAGCTTGAAAAGAATCTAATAAGTTACATTTAAAATTATTGGAAGAGTCTCCCAATAGTGTCTACTACTGATGACTTTACCCTATACAGAATTGAACAATTTTACAAATTTTGATTTTTTTAAATGTACAAAAATCTGGATTCTAATCATATCCTTTTTTGTTATATTAAATTAACTTGGTAATCATATCTTGATTTTACCCCTAATTAATGAATTTTATTCAATAAGAAAACAAGATAAATAATTATTCTAAAGATTTTGGGAAATTATTAATAAAATGTGAGAATTCACTAAGTAAGATATGCTTTGACATGCAAATATTTAAATATAAACTTAGTAGTGAGTCTTTTTCAAGTTTATAGGGTAAGGTTATAATTTTTTTCAAAATTTAGTTTTGTTTGTTTATTAATGATCAATTTTCATGTATTATAATAGAATTTAAAAAATATTAACAACTGTAGCAAACTATAAATTATTACAACACACCACCACTACAATACGTGCAAATACCTTAAACTTCCTTTTATCAGCAAACGTGAAACTTCAAAATTTCTTTTTCATATAAATTAAAGTCCATTTCAAACGAATCCCTTATATATGGTAGTTTATGTGATTCCCTACAAAAGCAGAAACAATGATATTAAAAGTATTGTTAAAATTATAAGTTCAATTATAAAAATTTGATAGTTGAAATTAAATGAAAATTTATCATAATTTTGGGACACTTAGTTTCAAAAGAATAACAAAAATGTACAATTTGAATAGCCTTGGCCCGGCTGCATCATGGGTACTTATTTAAATTACAAACTAAAATACAAATAATAGTGGTATGATGGTTGACTGTAGTGAATAATTGAAGAGAAGTTGGTCGGGGTGTTCAGACAAAACAAATTAAAAATAAATAAATGATATTTACTTTTATATTTGCTGACGTTTTGGGCCAAAGTTAAGGACTTCATCAGGGCAAAGAAAATACCAGATAACGATATGAGAAACTATTAACTTATGAAAAACAAAACTAAAATATTAATAATAATAATGTAAGAAACTTTGGAACGAAACATCATCAAATATAAAATTAAATATCATTTATTAATTTTTAATTTGTTTATTTTGGACTGAACACTCCAACCAATTTCTCTTCAACTAAAATACAAATAATTAAGTATATAAATATTGAGGATAGATACATACATATGTATTTATGTAATTAATATATTTATATTTTATTCATTCACAGAAGAGTAATAATTGGGAGGATAGAGAAATAACTGGTGTTATCTGGATAAATAAACAAATAAATCCTAGGTATCGGGTAACATTGAAAATAAATCTTAATCTAATTTGTCTCATTTGATATGACTTTTTACTATATAAAATTACAAGTTATTAAGAACACAACAAAGCTATTATAGTTTCAACAGACTATCACAAACTGTCATAAAACACCAAAATTGTTTCATTTAAGAAGTGTTACAAAAATTGAAATTATGTACTATAGTTAAATGTTTTTGTAACAAGCCAAAAAACATTTTGAAAATCGTTCACAACACTGTGATATTAAAAAGGTTTGATAGGAAAAAAAATTAAAAACAAAAAATATTTTTAGATATCACTTTACCTTACTATTAATTGTAGTTAGGTATATTATTAACATTAAAAACATCTATAAGGGAAAATTACTTACTTCTGTAATCATATTTCAATTTCTCGAATTTCCATTTTCTAAAAACAGAAAACACTGCTGTCAGTATATTTATAATGGGCTAATGAAATATATTCTACGGCTATTTTTTTAATATTTATCTCCTAGGGGTATAGAACCTAGAATAACTTTTACAGATTTTTAAATGTGCATAACTGGAAGTAAAAATGTAGTCCAATCTCTTCGAGTTCCATTCAACCATCTCTTTGAATCCTCCCTAGTCAATCTAGTTTCTATTCCAATGTCCTCATCTCTGGTGATTTTAATATGAACAAGCTTTCAGAATCTCCCGAAAAATACTTCATTACTGACCTAATATTTTCCCTTAATCTTTATCTTGCTCTTTATTCTTCCAATCATCATCCATAATTGACTGACACCTGGTTAGACCTTCACATCTCCGACTCTCCCCTCAAAATCCTTTCCTCCTCTCAACATCCCGTTCGTTCCCTTTCTATTATCACACGATCTAATCCAAATTTTGTATGATCTACCCATGAAATCCTTTACTCTCAAAATAATTTCATATCACAATTTAAACCTTCTTTTCTATGAATCCCTTCAACCTGATTTTGATTCTGTCCAATGGGAAATCATGTATTCCTATAATTCTATTGACCTTATGGTATCCACTCTTAACTCAAACCTACAATCCATGCTCATCAATCCACAATCCTACTTGTTAAATCCAACTACTTCCACAATGCCCTTAGTCCTTCTCCTCCTTATGATATTGAACATCACAATTTAAATCCAGATGACTTCTTTTTTTTTTCCCATCTGTCCTACGATGAACTACTTTCCATTACTCTAAAATCCCATACCAATGATAATGGTCCTGATAATATTCCAGCAAAACTAATAAAATCAAGTTTTCCCATCCTTATTTCCATACTTTACCACATCTACTGCTTCTCATTGCGAAACTCTATATTCCAATTTTCTGGGAAAAACCATTCTAGTCTGACCTTCGAATAAAACATCAAACCCTTCCTAACTCCTTGACTTCCTTCCTATTTTTATCCTTTCAAAACCGCTAGATCAACTTTCCAATTTTCTATAATAACATTCCCTAATCAACCCTCTCCAATCTGGCTGCTCAACACAATCTGCCCTTCTAAAAATAACCCATGACCTTCAAAACTCTATCGAACACTAAAAACTTACTATCTTTATCCTATTAGATTTTTCCAAGGCATTTGACATAGTTGACCACAACATCCTTCTTACTAAATTGCAGTATCTTCTGCTATCTAACAGTGTCTCCTACGTTGGTTCAAATCGTTCTTATCAGATCGATCCCAGTATGTAGTCCTTCCTGGTCAATCACCTTCTAAGAAACTTCCTCTCTTCTGTTGTGTCTCTCAGGGTTTCTCCATATCCCCTATTCTGTTTGTCATTTACATTAGTGACTTTCCCTTTCTGATACATATATATATATATATATATATATATATATATATATATATATATATATATATATATGTATATATATATATCTCAATACCATATATATGCAGATTGTTTCCATATATATACCTGTTCTTCCCTCTTTCTATTATTACCTGCCACAAAGAAACTTCAAGAGAATAGAATCTGTGACTGGGAATACGCCAACAAGTTGAATTTGAATGTGGAGAAGACGAAGGCAATTTAAATAGGCTCCAATCAACCTCCTTTAAACTATTAATAAAATTCCAATACTGTTCCTACATGATAATCCTATCAAATTTTATCCCACCATAAAGAACCTTAAAATTACCAGACCCTTCGATTCTTCAAACCATTTCCTGGAAGAACCATACATCCAATATTTCCTGCAGTGTCATTTCCACTTTAAAACATCTAAATTACTTCAGCCACCTATTTCCATTTGAAACCCGTAAATTCCTGATCACTTCCATAATATTTTCCCACTTTGACTAATGCTGTACGGTATATGGGAGCATCTCGAGGTAAACTAAAACTAAACTAAAAACTAAAACATTTGATAAATTGCTTTGTACGATTCATCTTAGGGATCCCAAGGGACGCCCCTGCCTCCCATTTTTATGTAAAGTTGAGGTGGCTTTATTATTCCTACCGTATCTTCCTGAGTATTTTCTTGCATCCAATTTCACTTCCAAGTCATCCAATCCCGCCATCCTTCATACTTCATCGAGCTATTTCAATTCAAATCCTGTGTTTACTCCCACAAAACCCATTCCCAGTCATCAGACTTATGTACAAAGGACCACCGAACTGCTGCTTTCTACAAATCTTTCATTATCCAATCCTCATCCCTAAGGAGTTCTATCCCTTCCTACATCCGTCGTTCCAATAACCTCCACACCTTTGAACCCTGCCTGTTCTATCACTTCCTATACATTTAGTCCACATAAAATTGTAAATCGATGTTAAAAGATAAGCTACTTATAGGTATATAATTGTTAATTTGTTTTAATTATTTTATTTCACTTTTCTTTAATTTTTTTTTAAATTGATTAAAGTTAAAAGATAACCTAATTTTTTTTTATTTATTTATTATGTATAAATATTTTTTTTTGTGATTATTCTCTGAGGCTCTAAAGCCCACATTTCTATCACTGTATATTATTCTAAAGGGACTTCCTTGTCCCAGGATAAATAAAGCATTATTATTATTATTTTAAAAAAACAATGAAAAGTTGTTTTAGTTAACACTATTAATAAGTTATAAACACTCTTTGCAAACATATGTTAGCTTTTCTTCAAAATAATACTGATAAATGGTTAAAATAAAATTTAACATTACAAAATCTCAATTTAAAATTACGTTTCTTTAAATAAAAACAACAGTGGTATATTATCAAAGAAGAAATAAAGCATGATTATTAAAAAAACAAAACAATGAAAAGTTGTTTTAGTCAACACAATCCATAAGTTATAAACACTCTTTGCAAACATATGTTAGCTTTTCTTCAAAATAATACTGATTAACGACTAAAATAAAATTTAACATTACAAAATCTTAATTTAAAATTGTTTCTTTAGATAAAAAAACAACGGGGCTAATAAATAACAATTGTACTTAAAAAGCAACATGCACCATTTTGATCACATCAAGAGACTACTGCTTATAAAATAGATATAACACACGGCTATTATAATTTAAAAAATAGCAGGAAGTAACTGGAAAAAAAATGTTCTATAGCTAAATAACTTCTTCCATCCCATTTTCCAGATTTTTATTAAAGCCCTTGGAAACAAAAAATTGATATGGAAAAATCTTATAACTCTCATAAATCCGATAGCAGCGATTTAAGTGAAAAAAAAAAAAAATGTCACCAATAAAATAGCACCACTAATAAAGCCAATAGATAGAATTGTTATTGAATAGTATTTATACTGTTCAAAAATGAAAAAGTCTAGAGATCAGTCACCTCTGCCTTCTGTTGTAAATACTCGGTTACGTTTGTATTATCATTAAAGTGATCATGTGATTTTTTCGCTCACCTGCCATATCGGAGTAGCATTTAAGAACTAATACAGAATATTTTATACACAGGATACTTTTTTGTAATTGTATTTTGTAAATTACAAAACAAATCAAGGAATCCATAAGGAGACCTGAACCATTATTCCTTAAATTCTGAATTTCATAGAGAAATGAGTCATCATCATCAATCGACTCTACAACCCAATACTGGGTCCAGGCCTCCTCAAGCAGTTTCGCCAGTTAATTTGGTCAAGTGCTGCTGTCCTTCAGCTTCGAACACCAAGCAGGTTTCTTGAATCTTCATTCACACCATCAGCCCATCGTAATTTGTGACAGCATCTTGCTCTTTTTCCATGTAATTTTTCATTGACAAGTTTCCTAGGAATTTCTTGTGCATCCATCTTGGCCACATGACCCACCCATCGAAGCCTGCCAAACTTTATCATTTTAAAACATCAGTTAATTACCATTTAAATTACAAATTACAACGTAAAGACTCATTTATACATGTATTCTTCTTCAAATTAAAATATTCCTATTAAAAATATTTCAATAAACTGTCCCTTTAGAAGGTAGATCATAAAGACTACTAATTTTTTGCAATAAAAACAAGGAGAAAAATAACAGAACTTATAGCAAGGTTGTAGTGATCAAGCATATGTTTTTTCATTTTACAACCAGGTTGTAAAACATGACAAAATTAATCCAGGGGATAATATATAAGTATCTAAATGTTAAATACAATATTCTGTCTATAGGTAAAATAAACATAAATTAATAAATCAGGCCAAAACCTTAAATTGTGGTTATTATTAAGATCACTCCACTTTAGCGAAACTTAAATTAGAAATCTAAAATGAATAATTTCATCAATAACTCAATGTTAATAATGAAATTTAGCTTTAGCAATAAAAAATTTACACAAAAAGCTGGAATAGAATGAATTACATGAGAAGGTAGTAACAATTTTATCGAACAGTATTAATTTATGAAATAAAAAGTCAACTAGGGCAACTTCCTAAAATCAGAACTGAGCTCATAGAAGATATCAGATCCATTTATAAACTGGGCAAAACTATAACATCCATAAGCTCAGCTCTGAGTTTAAGAACATGCCCCTGGATTAAACATGAAATCAGTCAAATATTTGACACTAAGACTGACAATAATTTTTAACAAAATATGATAATAGTGAAAAGAGATATAATTGACACGATTCTATCTAGTCAAACAAAACATACTTGACAACAGCAAGGTCTATAAGTACGAATATAAATACTGATCAGTAAAAAAAACATTCAGACAAAATCAATTTAATTTTATTACACTCAGAGAAAGAATATAATAGTAAAAGTTAAAAGAATTGGTACCAAACATACAAAAAATCATGATATGTCTGTTATATTTTGAAGATTACTTACAATACATCAACTAATGAGTAACTAAATGAAGCACAATTTCTGTTACACATAATTATCAGCTAAAGTTGTCCACATAATTAATTTAATTTAACACTTATCATCTATAAATTTTGAAGGGCGGGTTATAACCTCCCTAATGTTTCTTTTGCCAGACGTGGACTTCACAAGTTCTTTGATTGAACCACTTGTCTGTTATCGATATCCAAAGAGAAATCAGAAAACCTAATATGCACTGAACATTCCATATGCTAAATTCATTGTGTATAATTATCGTATATTTTCGTATATCGTATATCGTATATTTTTGGAATGATTTTGTCCTATAAAACAGCCTGAAATGTCTGAAAACTAAATTAGTCTAAGAAAATACTGGAATTAAATAAACATGAAACATTTTTAGGAACTGCCGGCTACATATAAAATGCTCATTATTATTTGAAACATATTCTCAACCTCTCTCACACTTTCTATTAAACACTCTCTCACTTTCACTCTCACTCACACTCTCTCTCTCTCTCTCTCTCTCTCTCTATATATATATATATATATATATATATATATATAGATAGATAGATAGAAAAAAAAACTTTATTCTGGGACTAAGTCCCTTCAGAATAACAATAATGTACAAAATAATAGAATATTACTGGCCTGAACGTTGAAACAATAAATAAAATTGATAAAATAAAATAAAAAGTAAAGAAAACCTTAGGTGCACAAGCTATATACAAACAGATAAAACTATGTACAGAGCATTTAAAATTATGAACAAAACAATTAAAACTATGAACGAATCACTTGAACTATGAACAAAATTATATTTAAGGGTTGAACAACATAAACATACACTTTGAGAAATGAAGAACGAAAAAGAGATACAATGAGTTCATTTCATAAAAAAAAAAAACTTTACTTGAATATATATATATAAAAATAAACAGTTACTTATAATTGAATAAAAAAAAAAAATAAAAAAAAAATGTATGTATTGAAATTCCTACGTCGATAGTAGGAAATGCATGTACTATCTCTTACCAAGTGTTATGATTATATGATTGCTACACAATACATATATAATATCAATAGTTAGCTGGTATCAGACTGTTTTTGGAACAGGAATTGGAATAGGAGGTTTTTGAATGTATAAAGGGAAGGGGCATGTCGAATTTTGATCGGGAGGGAATTCCAAAAGTTGACAGAGCGGGCTATAAAGGAATTTTGGAATGAGGCAGATCTATGAGAAGGGATGTATAGGTCAGAGGGTCGGGATCTTGTAGTGAGTGAATGGATTGAGGACTTAAATTGGAGAAGGTTGTAGGCATAAGAAGGACGATGGTCGGTAATGATTTGATAAAGGAAAGTGCCAAGGAAATATTGTCTTCTTAAGGAGGGGAAGAGCCACCCTAACTCAGTGTAGTGGTGGGAGACACGGGAGCGTCTCGGGGTTCCAATTACAAATCTTACGAAACAATTCATAAGTCTTTTGAGTCTATCACGCAGTTCCACCGAGAGGCCATCGTACACCACACAGCTGTAGTCAAAGTGGGGAAAGATGAGAGAGGAAACTATGAGTCTACGGGTATTTTGGGGTAGAAGATGGCGGAAGTGATGGAATAGTTTGAGGGTAGAAATTGCACGGCGGGATATATGAGAGATATGGTGATTCCAGGAAAGGGTTTGATCTATGAGAAAGCCTAAATTTTTAACAAAGGGATAGAAGGTGATGGGGTGGTTGTTTAGATAGAGTGAGGGAAAGTTGGTGTGGGATCTAAGAAGGGGCTTGGAACCAATGAGAATGGCCTGAGTTTTGGCAGCATTTAGCCTTAATCCATTTAAGTTGGCCCAGGCACTAATTCGATCTAAATCTTCTTGAATTTTGGCAAATGCCACCAATAACTCAGCGGGAGAAAAGGATAAATAGATTTGAGAATCGTCGGCATAAAGGTGGTGGGAACAATGGATAATTGAATCATTTAGGTCAATTATATAAGAACTGAAAAGAAGAGGAGACATGCTTGAACCCTGTGCAACTCCTGAGGATAAAGGAAGGTAGGCAGATAGAGGTTGATTAGGTATGGAAACTGCTTGGGTTCGTTGTGAGAGGAAAGACTGGAACCAAGAGATGGAACTATTGGAGAAGGATAATGATTTTAGTTTGTTGAAAAGGATGGAATGGATAATGGAATCGAAAGCTTTGGAGAAATCAAGCAGTATAAGTATGGTTAGTTTTTTGTCATCTATTGCAGTCTGGATATCACTAGTAATTTTAATCAGAGCAGATTGTGTAGAGTAGCCAGGACGGAAGCCAGATTGGAGAGGATCGAGTTGGTTGGATTGTTCAAGATAGTTGGAAACTTGGGATTGGACTAACTTTTCTAGGGGTTTAGAAAGATTGGAAAGGATTGATATTGGGCGGAAATCTTCGGGAGAGGATGGATTAGGCTTTTTGTTTAAAGGAAGGACAATGGCTTTTTTCCAAGAGGTCGGGAATATTGAGTTCTGCAGGGAGAAATTGTAGATGAAAAGGAGTGCTGGGAGGATTTCAGGGAGACATAATTTTATTAGTTTGATAGGAATGCCATCTGGGCCTACGGAATTGGAACGGGATTTCATTATAACGGTAATAAGGTCTGTGGGAGAAATGTCGGAAAAATAAAAATTATTGTCGTTAAAAGGTACCTCTGGAGGAAAGCCGGAAGGGGATGGTAAAGAAGAGGTGGAAACCGATATAAAGTGGGAGGTTAGGTCATCAGGTGATATTGGGAAAACTGAGGAAGGGGATCTAGAAGGTTCACAGAGGGAAAGCTTACGAAGTAGAAGCCATTTTGATTTGATATCAGGAGCTGAGGAAAGGGCTTCGTGAAAGTAGTTCGCTTTCGCTTGTCGGATCCTTGTCTGTGTCGTGTTACGAAGCACTCTGAATATTTGATAATCATCTGCAAGCCTAGTCCGTCTGAAGCGTCTGCGTGCAGCGTCGCGTCTCTTCTGCAGATCCTTAATTTCCTGACACATCCAAGGAGCAGGACGATGACGGAAAGTGGAGGTTTTCAGAGGAGCGTGGGTATTGAGTATATTGAGAAGATTGGTGGTGAGAATATCAACCATGGTGTCGACAGAGGAGCAATGATATATTCCATTCAAATCCAATGTTACTAGATCAGGTAATATTTTTTCTCGAGTAAGCGTATCCAGTTGGCGGAAAGTGATAGTTCGAGGATGGATTGGAGGAGTGCGGATATTATACGTTATTTGTATCAGATCATGAGATGAAAGAAAGGATACTGGCAATTGAGAGGCGGAGAGGAGGGTTTGTGCTGAGTCGATGATGTAGTAGTCTAGCCAAGTGTCAGATCTGGTGGTGTGGTGGGTGGAGGAAAAAGGAACGATGAATAGGTGAAGTGAGAAAAACAGATTTTCTAAATAGGATTTGTCATTGGAGTTTGAGAGGAAATTGGTATTGAGGTCACCGGAGATAATTATTCTGGGATAGAGGGGAACGAAGTTGAATAGAGTTGATTCGAAGGACGGGTCAAATGGCACGAGAGGAGGGCGATATACCACGGCGTAAAGGATAGGAGAAATATTACTGAGAATTTCTACTAAGAGGTATTCTACATGAGGATGATCGGAAGATGGGGAGCAATCGAGGATTCGGGTCTTTAGGCTATTGTGGACAAACATGGCTACTCCACCGCCAGTCCGGTTTACCCGGTCATGACGGAGCAGGATGTAATTAGGCAAGGAGACTGAAGATGAAGGAATATAAGGTTTGAGCCAGGTTTCGGATATTGCTATGATATGATAAAAGTTTTGGGTAAAGTATTGCAGGAATTCGTCATAATGGGCAGAAAGTGATTGAGAGTTAACTTGACATGTGATTAGGGAACTAGACATACAGTGGATTTGGAGAGAAACAGTCAGTGTTTGGTAGCGAGAAGACAAAACGAGTAGAAAGTACAGAAAAGCGATTATCGTACATAAAACTAAGTGAAGAAAAAGTAATATTAACATTAAAAATAAATAAAGAGAATGTATTTGAAAATAAATAGATTGATGAGTGACGGTGTAGAGATAGCACTAAGAGAAGAAGTAAGACTATTTTAATGAGGCTAGGGGGTTGACGGCTTCTAGGTAGTCAGTCAAATACATCTAGATCCGAGGCCTGTTCTATCAGGATGACTCTATGTCCGTCCTCTTTTCGACACCGCACCTTTCCGGAAGCAAACCACGTATATTTGATTTTTCCCGCCGCTCTCTTCTGCCGGGCTAGCCAATAGAGGTGTCTGTTTATGCGAGTCATCTCTTCACCCAGATAAATTCGGTGGCAGTCATTTTCCTGCCAACCGATATCCCGCGTGGAGAAATCCCTCTTCACTTTCCTTTTCGTAATTAGATCATCTCTAATTGATTGCCTGACAAAGCGTGCGATAACAGGCGGTGGTCGCGAGTCATCTTTTCGGCTTCTGCGGCGATGTACGTTGTCCAGGTCCTCCACACTAAGCTTGATCCCCAAGCTTGCTCCTATACTGGTCACCAAAGCAGCGGGCGTTTCGCCCGGTCGCTCCGGTATACCGCGGATCTCCAATGATCTACTCAATAGTCCTTGCTCTGCGTTATTCAAGCGAACCTCTAATTCGCCCACTCGGGATTTGAGTGCTTTGTTTTCTAATAGTATTTCCTCAAACTTTTTAGCTTGACCTTCCAGATGTTTTTCAATCTTCGTCAGTCTTTCGTTTAGTTCAAAACTGAGCTCTCCGTATTTATCTAGTGCTGTTTTCATGTTTTTTATATCTTCGTTCACGGTAGCGTCTAAACGATTTACTGCCGCAAGTATTTCTGAGGGGGACGGCTCGGTATTTTGTTTTTTCACCTGTTCGCAGTTAGAGCAAACCCATGTTTTTTTAATTATTTTTAATGCTTCGGTGTCTTTATCATTAAGGTTGACGCACCTACCATGAAAAATTATTTTACACTTAACGCAGTGTATATTGTTCTTATCTTCGCGTGCGATAGAGTTGTTGCAAATATTACACTGCACCATTTTTTAAATTTATTAATGAGAATTACTTAGCAATTAAAATATAAATAAATACCAGGACTGTTGACGGTAGTAAACAACGTCTAATGCTGGTCTAATGCTGTTAGGATTAGTAGACGCCGATAACAAACTAA